CCAATGACGCAAAATGACGATTTTTACATCATTGGAAGCAGGAAGTGCAACACTAAAATCCTTATTTCTCCCCTCTCAGGGAAAGTGAGGGAATGATGCACGACCATTCAAAAATATGACTGGGGTTCTAATGATACAAAGCTTAATGCAAATGGGTGAAGTGTTCCTTTAAATTCAAAAGCACCTAAAGTACCATAAGTGCAGTTGTATGACGATGGAATCGAACAAATATGGTGTTTGAAGATCCCATTAGTATTAGTAGTAGCATCCAACCAAGTCTCTGTCAAAAACATAAAATCAAGCTAAGAAGTTATAAAATCATTGATTAAAAAGTGAATTGTTACACAGGGACCTAAAATTAAATAGGGCTAGTTTTAGGCACTAACAAGATTATTGGCTCACTGATGTTGTAGCAAAATGTTAACTGACAGAGTGAACGTCCCATTGTCAGCTGATTGAGTTGGAAATGGGGAAAAGGGAGGAATAGAGAATGTAAATAGTATGTGAGATAATCAGTTTTACACTTAGCGGATTAAGGGCATTAAGTGTCACCTCCTTAGTGCTGAATTTAATTCTAGGAACTTGGCCCCAAAGCAGGTGTAAAGCATTGGAAACAAAAACAGAACCCATGACATATTACATTCCTGCAGTGAAAAAGGGATTGTCTACATTCAAATGTGAACCTGTACTAAATATCCTCGACTGGGTGTGAGCACTGACAGTTTTTGTGCTTAAAGCTAAGGGAGTGTTAAGCACTAACACAGACTTATGTTCTGGATCTCCTCCTCTCCTTTCCAGCTGTACAGGCTGACCTGGTGGTCCAGATATAGCCAGGAGCCTCGGATTGATCTCACAGGCTCCCGGATGACCTCTGACCCAGTGAACTCTGACTCCAGCCCTGATTCTAATTGCTTGCAGAGAGCTGTTCTGTGGCTCTGTGGTCTGAATGGTTTAAGTTCTGGCTTTGTATCTCCAGTTATTGAAAACAGTGAACTTAACTCCCTGCAGGAGGAGCCACTCTGGAGAAGAGTCTGCAATGTAAATGCCCTGCTGCTACTGGCTGTAAATGTGTTTCTATGGGGATACTTGGCCTAATGTGCAGGTTTCATTAAATACTGAAGATGATGTTATCAGCCAGCTGTACTAGACTGTTTTGTTAACATTGTTTGGTTAAAGGCTTGGTCCAGTGGCTAAACCAATTCTGTATTCTGTGCAACAATAGGCTTTTGTAATCTTATCAGGAAAGAGATTTTTGACTAACAATGATCAAGGGACACTGATTTAACAACTGAAAAGGTCTTCAACTGATTTATAAGGTCTGTAATCACTGTTTAAACACTCTTTAAAAAGGAAGCTAAGAGCACTCTTCATTCATTCAAGGGAAATTATTTGGACACCACTCTCAGACGTGGGGGTGCATATGCATAGGTAATAAATGGAAAAGAATGGAAAAGAAAAAAATGTTGTCCTGGAGATACTAGATTGTCATCATTCAGACACCAAATGTATTACTGACATTCCATTTAGCAAGTGTTCCCACAGTGCTGCATGACAAGGGAGAATACATTTTTCCCCAAAATCTTTTCCACCCAAATCTTATTTAGCTGTTGCTCATATATATCTTTGTCGTCTGCCCTTTCAGTTGTATGGCAACATATTAGTGTTAATAGCCGCAAGCGCAAAAGAGATCCATATGTGCGTGTAAATAACTTTTGCAAGTTCTTTCACAGGACTGGCACGTAGAATTCCTTTGCTCACGCAAGCAATATTGTAACCTGCGAGGAAAAAAAACATGCGTGACTCCCGAGTGAACAACCTCTTGCTCTCCTGCTGGCAAAACTTTAACCTGCAAGTGGTTTGCCTTTTGGCAGTAAATTGGCTGACCCATTCGCCAGTGGATCTCTACATATGATTATGTACAGTCTTGGGGCCTCACGTATAAATGGGTATGCTGGTTTTCACGTATAAAACTGAATGTGACATGAGAATGTGCATACCGAATTTCCCACAGATAAAATGCCAGGGAAAATGACAATTTCCTCTGTTTATGCAACATGGAGATGTTAACACATGTCTGAGACTGTACATTTGCTGCGATGCACTGACATCCATGATGCACAGGAGGTAAAGCACACAGATCCATCTCCCCAGAAAGAAAACTAAGTGCCAGATGGACAAATGCACTCACTCACTAACATGGCATGCCTATGCCACAGGAGCTGTGGATGAACCCTACCCAGGTCCACCAAAGCAGAGTGCAGCAGCTATATAGTTAAGAATAACATACACGTCTGAGTCATGCAGGCAGGATGTCAGAGATGGGGGCTTCTCATTGCAGCGATCCTTCCTTCATGTGCCCTCAATTCTGACTTTCCTGAGCCCACAACAGTAGCAGCAACACAGTTATCTGAACCGGCTGCATTGGCCACTCTTGTGACTCTTTATTCTTGTTGCTTATTATTATATATTGTTGCTTATTATCATTATTACAAACCACCAAATAAATCATTTTAAGGCCTCACCACCAGTGATCAGCACCTCAATCTCACACTTTTTTTTTTCATAATATATTTATTAAATTTTTGTATATAACATGATACACAAAAAACAAGAATCAAAGAGAAAGACAAACAAACATGCAAAAAAACCAAAAAAAAAACAACAACACAGGGCATATTTAATAAGAACAATTAAGTACACTGCTGCATAACTAACATCTTAGCACAAATTCTAAACAATGAGAGGTGGATGGCACTCTATGAACTTCCTTGCTGGTCAGGGTCAATGTCATATTTATCAAGGTGAGCCAGAAATGGCTGCCATATATTCGAGAATTTATTAAGATTGTCCATCATGCCATATTGAACTTTCTCCATATGTAAAATACCAGTGAGCTCACTCAACCAAGTCTTAAACTTAGGCACAGTATCTGACTTCCAGAGTCTTAAAATCACTTTCTTTGCAATTACCATTCCATACATAATTGTGCTCTGTACCGAAACATTGTGTTTCAGTATCCAAGGAGAAATCCCAAATAATGCAATCTCCGGGACAGGTTCAAACACACAGTTGTACACATCAGAAAACCACTTAAATATGTCACACCAAAATGTATACAGTTTCAGACATGTCCAAAAAAGGTGGGTCAGAGAGCCCTCCCCAGATTTACAAAGATTCTGTGCAATTTGGTTTTTGAATAATGAAGCCTGTGCATCCCCTTAAATTGGATTAACTGGTGCATGGCATTAATAGAACAAGATCGGGTCCTACCAAGGCGCTCCTTCCAAACATCCTCCCCAATCTGCACTCCCAGCTCCTCCTTCCAGGATTCTTTCAAAGAGTGCGTGGCATAAACCACATATATGAAAATATATTTACAAAGCCTGAGACCAATTTTTTGGATTCAGGCGGACCCAACAAAAGCTTATAAATAATTTTACCTTCCGGGAGAGACTCAAAGTTAGGCATACATTGACGGACATAATTCCTAATCTGCAAATATCAGAAAAAATTTGTTGTGGGAAGAGAAAACTTGTTTTTTAGTTGAGTAAAGGTGGCGAACTGTTAATATACAAATCTTTCAAAGTAACCAAACCTTTTAACCTCCAAATGTTGAAGGACCCATCCGAAAGGGATGGGGAGAATGCATGAGTGCAATATATTGGGGCATGAATAGAAGTGTCTGGCAACCTGCAACCCTTTCTAATTTGCCTCCATATTTTTAAACAATTAAAAACTATCCACCTTAGTTGCAGGGGGTCTGGGTGCTGAGAAAAGAAGTGCTGGAAGAGAACTGTTCTTGCAGATACTTTCATCTTGTAACCCACCTGCCAATAGACAAGGGCCCTAGCATTCGCTGCCCAATAATAATGCAGGAAATTTGGTAATCCTAACCCTCCCATTTCTGCTGGTTTATGTAAAAACCCTCAGGGTTCGGTACTCAGGGTATGGTGCTCTCTCCCTTTCACTTCACCCTTTACACCTCGGACTTCATCCACAACAAAAAAGTGGCCGGCTGTGGTGCATAGGCAGAGCAGGTCGCCCCCTAATTGGAAGGTTGTTGGTTCGATCCCCTGTTCCTGGTGCCACACGTCGAAGTATCCTTGAGCAAGAAGTATCCTTGAGCAAGATACTGAACCCCAAATTGCTCCCGATGCTGTGCGTCTGTGTGTGAATGTGTATGATTGGTCGTGACGTGCTACGGTAAGCGTACTGACTCATTTCCGGTTTACTTCCTGCTCTGTGTACACTGTTTGGTGCTGTAGCTCTGTCAGTGAACGCTAAATCTAAATTAGTTTTACTTGTTACAGTTTTTCCCGCTTAACATTTAAACGTAGACTAGTTCTACCTAAGCACTCGGAGTTACTCCTTCTTTTAGCGACTTTTCGCTATTTTCAAAGTTTTTCATACACGCTAGCTTCAGTAACATTAGCAGTTAGCTATGGCTTCTCCCTCTCCCTCTCCTCTGCTCTGTCCTGCTCAGTGTGTCAGATGTTTACTTATTCCTCTGCCTCCTTTAAAGATAATGGTACATGTATTAAGTGTAGTTTATTTACTGCGCTGGAGGCGAGGCTTAGTGAGTTAGAGGAACGGTACCGCACCACGGAGATATCTTTAGCCGCTATAGTTAGCCAGCCCCCAGTAGCCGGTGCGGTCCGACCGAAGGTAGCTTCTGTTAGCCGTTCCCCCGGTAGTTCCCGAGCAGCTGGGAAGACAGGGAGGCTGGGTGACTGAGCGAAGGAAGACTAAAACGCCGAAGCCCACAGTTCACCACCAACCCATTCACGTTTCTAATACATTTAACATAAGTCTGTAACTCTGTTACTGTTGTGGGTTTTGTGTCCGGGGGTAATTGGCTTTATGTTGGTCTGTATTTAGTTAAAGTGCTCAGTCAGTAATATGTTTGTGTCGCTGTTAGAAAGAGCAGAAAACCTCCGAGTGAACAAACTGTAGCTGCTCATCAGCTGTTAGCTCGTTGAACTAGCGCTAGCTTTGTTATTCCGGAGCCATTGTCCTGCTCCGCTAAGCTGTGTGTGTGTAAATGTACCGGAGGTAAAGATAGAGCTACCGTGAAAGAGAAATAGTCAGACTGTGATCAAGCCTCCTTAGAAGCTAACAGAATACAGAGAGTGAGTTATGGTGATTATTGTGTAACTTTATACTGACGTGCTAACGTTATCTCAGCTAGCGCTAGCTTCGTTGTTTCTCTGCTTCGTTCAGGTGTGTGTGTGTTACGTGTGTAAATTAACTTGATCAACGTGCACCAGAGTTAACACTAGAGCTACAGTGAGAGAGAAATAGTCAAACTGCAGGGATTCATTAGTTTAGTAATATTGTGTAACTTTGATTAGCACCCAGCAGCTGGGGTTGCTCACTAGGCTTTATGTGGAGTCAAACCGCGACGAATAAAAGTTTTCTGGTCTGTTTATTTAGCGTTACTGAAGTACTGCTATTACTGACGATATAAGTGTAGGTCCAGTGTAACATCCTATAGTCATATAATCTCCTATTGTATTATAAACACTGAGGCTCACTGCTAAATGTCTGTTATTGCACCGGGAACTTGTTACAACATCAGTTACAGTCACAGTAAATGTCCTGTGTGTGTGTGTGTATATCTGCTGCCATTAGATAGACATTGTGTTGGTAACCTCAGACTGTTTCAACAACACATCACTACAGTTAGCTGCAACAAGGAACCACCAGAGACACTGCTTATTATTTTAGTTTATAACTTAGGACTACTGTGAGCCACAATGAGCTGTTGTACTTGTTTTATATTACACTGTATATTATATTATACTGTATATTATATGCTGCCTTACAAGTAACACTGAATCCTCCATGTTTTACAGGTGACCTGATGAAGCTCAGGAGTTCCTGGACCTTAACTAGAAACAACTGCTTGACTAATGTTGTTAATATTATGGAATATATAATATGTTTAACTTCACTGGGCTGTGTAGACTGTAGGTCACTGCTCACTGCTGTACCTGGAAAGACATAAAACACAGTGTTGGTTCTCATAGTTAAGGTATAAACACTAACATTATGTGATAGAGGTTAATAATATATATATATATATATATATATATATATATATTAGTTATATGTATGTATATGTAGTTAATATAGCAGTATTTACCTGAGGAAAACGTCACAGAAAGCTGTAATCCTGATTGTTGTTGTTGTTCATTTGTCCGTGATTTCAGGTCAGACTCCCGCTCTAACATGTCCGCTGGTGAAGTTTTTGCTTTAGAAGCAGTTATTGAATTAATATTGACGGTAGAAATGAAGCTAATCTCAGTAGCAGTGAGGAGCTACCTGCCGGCAACGAAGGGGAGGGGCCGGAGCGTCATCCGCGTGAGCCGCGTCATCTGCGTGAGCCGCGACCAATCAGAGCAGACTGGGCTTTTCTGGAGGGGGGTCTTAAAGAGACAGGCGCTAAAACCGAGCGATTCAGACAGAGGCTGAAAAGAGGTGCTCAGCTGTAGGCAGTATGAGAAATATAATGTGTTTTTTGAACATTAAAACATCTAAACCTATTGTAGGAGAGCCACAAAATACAATTATGAACCTGAAAAAGGGGCATAATATGACTCCTTTAAAGGGGACATATTATGCAAAACCAACTTTTTAATCATTTGATTATGTACATTTGGGACTCTGGAGGGCCTATCAGCAGGCAAAGTGTTCAATCATTGGCTGCACAGCCCAACACAAATTTACATATGTACATTTATGTACATTTGTGTAAATTATTTTTTTTTAAGGCAATGTCCGGCTAGAGTCAGAAAAACCGGAAGGTGTCTGAACCTTCCTGTCGGACTGTTTTCACAACCTCGGTCAGTACAACACTGGACTGGCTGAAAGACTGTTCCTGAAAGAGGGATTGTACCAACTGTCTGTGGAGAGTCGGCAGAGGAAGAAACTGTAAGTATTTTTAACAATTTATGCTGTTTTTCATTGTTCGTGTAATGCTAGCACATGCTAACCGCTGTTAGCTGCAGGAGCCTCAGTGATGCTAATGTAGTTATTGTTTGTTAAATGTTAAAAGATGAACATGAAACTTATAAGATGAGGTTAATTTATTAAGCCAGCTGGTGCAGATGTCTCCATATTCTCCCCTGCTGATATTTTTATAGAGATTCACACAAAGTTTATTATAAGTTTATACCGAGAATCACCAAGCTTCGTGCTGGGGGGGGCTCTGTAACTGAGAGAACGGGGGTAATTATGATTTATGTTGGTCTGTATTTAGTTAAACGTGCTCAGTCAGTAATATGTTTGTGTCGCTGTTAGAAAGCGCAGAAAACCTCCGAGTGAACAAACTGTAGCCGCTCGTCAGCTGTTAGCTCGTTGTGCTAGCGCTAGCTTTGTTATTCCGAAGCCATTGTCCTGCTCCGCTCAGGTGTGTGTGTGTGTGTGTGTGTGCGCGCGCGCGTGTGTGCGCGTGCGTGCGCGCGCTGCTGCATGTAAATTTACCGGAGGTAAAGATAGAGCTATCGTGAGAGAGAAATAGTCAAACTGTGATCAAGCCTCCTTAGAAGCTAACAAAATACAGGGAGTAAGTTATGGTGATTATTGTTCATGATGCTTCTTGTGTAACTTTATACTGACGTGCTAACGTTATCTCAGCTAGCATTAGCTTTGTTGTTTCTCTGCCTCGTTCAGGTGTGTGTGTGTGTTACGATGTGTAAATTAACTTGATCAACGTGCGCCAGAGTTAACAATAGAGCTACTGCGAGAGAGAAATAGTCAAACTGCAGGGATTCATTAGTTTAGTATTATTCTGTAACTTTGATTAGCACCGAGCAGCTGGGGTTGCTCACTAGGTTGTTTTGTGGAGTCAAACCGTGATGAATAAAAGTTTTCTGATCTGTTTATTTAGCGTTACTGAAGTACTGCTATTACTGACGATATAAGTGTAGGTCCAGTGTAACACATATTCATATAATCTCCTATTGTATTATAAACACCGAGGCTCACTGCTAAATGTCTGTTATTGCACCGGGAACTTGTCACAACATCAGTTACAGTCAGTAAACGTCCTGTGTGTGTATCTACTGCCATTAGATAGACATTGTATTGGTAACCTCAGATTGTTTCAACAACACATCACTACAGTTAGCTGCAACAAGGGACCCACCAGAGACACTGCTTTATTATTTTATTTTATAACATAGGACTACTGTGAGCCACAATGAGCTGTTGTACTTGTATTATATTATACTGTATTATATTATATGCTGCCTTACAAGTAACACTGAATCTTCCATGTCTTACAGGTGACCTAATGAAGCTCAGGTGTTCCTGGACCCATCAGAGGACAGAGACAGCTGCAGCATCAGGACAGTCTGGGTATCCAAAGGAAGACGCATCAAGATGAACACTGACTGCAGAGCTCCATTACCAACTCACACTTCAATATACTTGAAACCATAAACCTTGATGTAGGACAGGATCTGCACAGTTTACATAAAAGTTATAGCTTTGTTACTTACAACATGTGTAACTGGAATATGAATGAAATATAAATAAAGTGTTTTACTTTTAAGAAGAGTTTTGGTCATTTTTAAATTCAGTAATAAGTGTGGTTTTATATAAATAACATGTTATTTCACCGAGGTTTTATGAAGATTTCCTGCATGTACAAGAGTTGAAAACTTGATTTGTGTTACATCTATCAATATGGAAATGTGGAATTTAAACCTGTAGTAAATGACCAAGCAATGCAATACATTACTGTCTCACATTCAAACTTTATTATGTTGGAAGATAAATGACATCATAATTTTTACAGTATATAATATAAATTATAGAATATTCAGTATACAGTATTTTTAATGGGGTTCAAACATAATTGCAGCTTTTACAAATATCTGAAGGTTAACTTTGGTAATAATACTTTTAAGTTAAAATATCAGACTATGAAATATGGATACAGTACAGTTGGTTACTTGGCAGTTTTTAAACCACATGAACAAGTTACTTTATTAGATGAGTGATTCCTTCAGTTATGATGTTGACATGTTGTACAGGATAAAGTATTCCAGGTTTCTGTTTCCATGGTCTCAGTAAACTAATGTGTATAAAGAATATAACAGATGGGAGGTTACAGTAATCATTATACTATTACTCTGATTACTTTGGTACATTTACTGGGTGTTTCTTCACTAAAAACAACTGCTTGACTAATGTTGTTAATATTATGTAATATATAATATGTTTAACTTCACTGGGCTCTGTAGACTGTAAGTTAGGTCACTGCTCACTGCTGTACCTGTAAAGACAAGCATAAAACAGTGTTGGTTCTCATAGTTAAGGCATAAACACTAACATTATGTGATAGATAGAGGTTAATATATATATGTGTGTGTTTATGTAGTTAATATAGCAGTATTTACCTGAGGAAAACGTCACAGAAAGCTGTAATCCTGATTGTTCATGTTGTTCATTTCTCCGTGATTTCAGGTCAGACTCCCGCTCTAACATGTCCGCTGGTGAAGTTTTTGGTTTAGAAGCAGTTCTTGAATTAATATTGACGGTAGAAATGCAGCTAAACTCAGTAGCACTGAGGAGCTACCTGCCGGCAACGAAGGGGAAGGGCCGGAGCGTCATCCGCGTCATTGCGTGAGCCGCGTCATAATGCCGACCAATCAGAGCAGACTGGGCTTTTCTGGAGGGGGGCCTTAAAGAGACAGGAGCTAAAACCGAGCGATTCAGACAGAGGCTGAAAAGGGGTGCTCAGCTATAGGCGGTATGAGAAAAATAATGTGTTTTTTGAACATTAAAACATCTAAACCTATTGTAGGAGAGCCACAACATACAATTATGAACCTGAAAAAGGGGCATAATATGACTCCTTTAAAACTGCTGGCTAAAGATAATCGTAAATATAGTAAGATTGTTATCCACGTCGGCTGTAATGACACCCGTTTACGCCAATCGGAGGTCACTAAGATTAATGTGGAGTCGGTGTGTAATTATGCTAAAACTATGTCAGACTCCGTAGTTTTCTCTGGACCCCTGCCCAATGTGACCAGTGATGACATGTATAGCCGCATGTTGTCATTCCACCGCTGGCTGTCGAGGTGGTGTCCAGAAAACAATGTGGGCTTCATTGATAACTGGAAGCCCTTTTGGGGAAAACCTGGTCTGATTAGGAGAGACGGCATCCATCCCACTTTGGACGGAGCGGCTCTCTTATCTAGAAATATGGCGAAGTTTATTTCTAAAACCTGACAGTCCAGAGTTGGGACCAGGAAGCAGAGCTGCTGTCTTACACACTTCTCTGTGCTTTCTTTAGAACAGTCACCCAACCAAAACCCCATAGAGACTGTGTCTGTCCCCCGACCACCTAAATTATTTAAAGAAATAAAAACAAGAGGAGTTCAACATAAAAATCTAATAAAAAATAAAACTAACTCCTCAGTAGCACAAAATAAGAGAATGAAATGTGGGCTGTTAAATATCAGGTCTCTGTCCTCTAAAGCTGTTTTAGTGAATTAATTAATATCAGATTATGATATTGATTTACTTTGTCTTACTGAGACCTGGTTGTCCCACGAGGAGTATGTTAGCCTAAATGAATCCACCCCCCCCAGTCATATTAATACTCACATTCCTCGAGGCACTGGCCAAGGAGGTGGAGTAGCAGCCATATATGATTCGAGCATTTTAATGGACCCTAAACCTAAACTAAATTATAATTCATTTGAAAGCCTTGTTCTTAGTCTTTTTCACCCAAACTGGAAAACACTGCAGCCAGTTCTATTTGTTATAGTGTACCGCGCTCCTGGACCGTACTCTGAATTTATATCTGAATTCTCAGAGTTTTTATCAAGTTTAGTCCTTAAATCAGATAAAGTAATTATTGTAGGTGATTTTAATATTCATGTGGAAGTTAACAATGACAGCCTTAGTAACACATTTATATCATTAATAGACTCAATTGGCTTCTGTCAGAGTGTAAATAAACCAACTCATTGTTTTAATCACACTCTTGACCTTGTTCTATCATATGGCATTGATATTGAACATTTAATAGTCTTCCCACATAATCCTTTCCTATCTGACCATTATTTAATAACTTTTGAATTCCTATTATTAGATTATAAGCCATTAGGCAAAACTTCCTACAGCAGATGTCTATCTGACAGTGCTGTAGCTAAATTTAAGGAGGAGATTCCTTCAGTGTTTAATTCAATGCCATGTCTGAATTTAACAGAGTCCTATAACGACTTTAGTCCCTCTGAAATTGATAATCTTGATTATCGATAGTGCTACAGGCTCACTACGATCAACATTAGACTCTATCGCTCCTATAAAAAGGAAATTATTAAAACATAGGAGACTAGCACCTTGGTATAACCACCAAACCCGGCAGTTAAAACAAATAGCTAGGAAATCTGAAAGGAAATGGCGCTCTTCCAAATTATCAGAATATCGCTCAATTTGGCATGATAATCTTAAAACTTATAGAAAGGCCCTCCGTAATGCCAGAGGAGCCTATTACTCAGCACTAATAGAAGAAAATAAGAATAACCCTAGGTTCTTCCTCAGCACTGTAGCCAGGCTGACAGAGAGTCACAACTCTATTGAGCAACATATCCCCATAAACTTAAGTAGCAATGACTTCATGAGCTTCTTCTATAATAAAATTATTACTATTAGAGAGAAAATTATTCACCAACTGCCATCAACAGTTATCAGTGGCTCTCCAAGTTCAGGGACTTTTACTAATGTAAACTCAGATATATATTTAGACTGTTTTTCTGCTATCGATCTTCATCAGTTAACTTCAATCATTTCTTCATCGAAGCCATAAACCTGTCTATTAGACCCGATCCCAACTAGGCTGCTTAAAGAAGTTGTTCCCTTAATTGGCACTTCTTTACTGGATATGATTAATCTTTCTTTATTATCAGGATATGTACCACAGTCCTTTAAAGTAGCTGTAATTAAACCCCTTCTTAAAAAGCCCACTCTTGACCCAGGGGTTTTAGCCAACTATAGACCGATTTCTAATCTCCCCTTCCTCTCTAAGATTCTGGAGAAAGTAGTCGCCAAAGAGTTCTGTGACTTTCTACATAACAATAGTTTATTTGAGGATTTTCAGTCAGGATTTAGAGTTTATCACAGCACAGAGACAGCTCTGGTTAAAGTTAATAATGACCTTCTGATTGCTTCTGACAATGGACTTGTCTCTGTACTTGTATTATTATATCTTAGTGCTGCATTTGACACCATTGACCATCATATTCTTTTACAGAGACTTGAGCATCAAATTGGCATTAAAGGAACCGCACTAAGCTGGTTTAAGTCATATTTATCAGATCGCTCGCAGTTTGTACATGTTAACGATGAATCTTCAATAAATACTATTGTTAGTCATGGAGTTCCACAAGATTCTGTACTTGGACCAATACTATTTACTTTATATATGCTCCCTTTAGGCAACATTATTAGGAATCACTCCATTAACTTTTACACAACTTTTCACTGTTATGCAGATGATACGCAGTTATATCTATCAATCAAGCCCGATGAAATTAATCAATTATCTAAATTACAAACATGTCTTAAGGTCATAAAATCCTGGATGACTAAACTTTGATGTTAAACTCAGAAAAAAACGAAATTCTTGTTCTTGGCCCCAAAAACCTAGACTCACTGTCTAAAGATATAGTTACTCTAGATGGCATTAACTTGGCCTCTAGCACCACTGTCAGGAATCTTGGAGTTATCTTTGATCAGGATTTGTCATTTAACTCCAACATAAAGCAGACCTCTAGGACTGCCTTCTTTCATTTACGTAATATTACAAAAATTAGACACATACTATCACAGACAGATGCAGAAAAACTAATCCATGCATTTGTTACTTCAAGGCTGGACTACTGCAACTCTTTATTATCAGGTTGCCCCAATAAGTCCATTAAAACGCTCCAATTAATTCAGAACGCTGCAGCACGAGTACTGACAGGAACTAGAAAAAGAGATCACATCTCTCCTGTACTAGCTTCTCTGCATTGGCTCCCTGTAAAATGTAGAATAGAATTTAAAATCCTCCTCCTCACCTATAAAGCTCTTCATGGTCAGGCCCCTTCATATCTTAAAGAGCTCATAGTACCCTATTACCCCACTAGAACACTACGTTCTCTGAATGCTGGGCTACTTGTGGTTCCTATAAGTCTCTAAAAGTAGAACAGGAGCCAGAGCCTTCAGTTACCAAGCTCCTCTCCTGTGGAACCAGCTTCCAGTTGTGGTTCGGGAGGCAGACACCCTCACCACATTCAAGAGTAGGCTTAAGACATTCCTCTTTGATAAAGCTTATAGTTAGGGCTGGATCAGGTGAGTCCTGAACCATCCCTTAGTTATGCTGCTATAGGCCTAGACTATCGGGGGATTTCCCATGGGGCACTGAGCTCCTCCCTTCCTCTCTCTTTCTGCACTCATTCATGGTCCATTAATGCATGTTACTAACTTCACTTCTTCCCCAGAGTTCTTGTGCTTTTTCGTCTCGCAGGTTCTTATCGATCCTGGTGGAGCCTCCTG